GCGGTCCTGTTGCGCGCAGAAGGTAACAGATGTCGTACAGAGTTTCTGGGAAAGATGCAGGGGAGACGTTGCTGAGTTACACATTGGCAGCTGAGACGACCGAATGATACTGTGTAGAATAACGCGGGGACAATTGGAAAGGGAAGGGGGGGGAGATGGGCGCGTCGCCAATGCTGAGGGGCGATACGTAAGAGGCCGCAAGTGGAACTTTGGTTGAAGAAGTCCGGCCTCATGGCCACACGCCTTGCAGTCCCCATTCTCTGCCCCGGCCACCCTCGCCATATTAAGCCGGAACTGACCCCGGATCGCGGCCTTTCTTCTGTACTCTTTCCCCGTCCACCATGACCAGTCGTCATCGTACGACAAGCTCCTCCCGTAAAGACAGCTACGGACTATGGCGGCCCAGCGACTCCGACTCTGACCGGCCCCGTCAGACAATGGCCAGCACGCAGCGGCATAACGTGAATCAGGCGGGAGCTCCAGAAACACACCGGAAACATCATACCTCTCGGCGAGCGGACACTATCGACTACCTTGATCCTTCAGTTGCATACTCTCGTTCCGGTCACAAGGTTTCTAGCGAAGACCGGTCATCGACAGCACAACCGTCCCCATACTACGCGATACCCCCATCACCCAATCCTTCGGCCCAGTATCAGACACGAGATCCACATCATGACCTGCGGGCATATCTCAAGAAGAGCAAGCGTAGCCCACGATCTCACGAGAAAGCCCTCGCTAGCGACGAGGTGAAAGCTTCGCGGTCAGGACAACGCAGCGGCAGTCGACACGCTTATCCGGACCCAGCAACATATACACAGGCTACTTTGCCGTCACAGTCCTACCTCATCCCATCCACTTACGCTACGCGCGACCCCACCGCGTCTTCGCGACACCACCGAGACAGAGAGAAGGATAGGGAAAAGTTAAGCAGTCGCGACCCCGAAAAGGCCAAAATCCGTGATCACACTGCAGAGAACAGTGAGGAACGGGAGAGGCGGAAGAGAAGAGAGAAGGATGGAGAGAAGGAGCGATCGTCGAAGGACAAGGAGCGGCGCAAGGAGAAGAACCGTCATAAGGAGCGTGAGGTTCAACCTCTGGTCGAGACAAAGCCAGCGGACGCCGCTAGTGTCTATCAAGGGTACACTCAAGTCTCGACGGTGGCACGCAGGTCTGCGGACAAGATTCCTGTGGCTTACCCAGTGCGTTTCCATGCCATCGCCAATTCATGAATTCATGAAACCTTGCGATAAATAACATCCTATTTCATTCAACGCAGGACTACACTCGTCCACCCTCGACCCAACCACATTCAGTCGCACATATTCCAGCTCCAACGTCTGCAACTGTCCCTTGGGCCGGCCTGACCTCCGCTGGGCGTGGGGCTGCGGCCTCCGTGCCGGATTCAACATATCCTTATGCGTCTGACAAGGACGATCCGCCTCTCCCAATCCCCCCGCCGGAGCGCCGACGCGAGAGAACATCTTCCAAACCTCATCGATCACATCACCACAAAGTTTCTTCCCAGCAAGCCGGACAAGATTCAGGTCTCTCAAGCAGTGAGCAGGAGCATTCTATCATGGACAGGGTGAGTTTGACGTCGTGTATGGTAGAGTGATTGATTGAGCTACGGATTTCCATAGTCACGGACCGCAGATAGACGCTATACCAACAGAGAACAAGCGAGCATCCTCCAGCGTGGGTATTCGTCCGGACCGTCGGGTAGTGAAAATGAAAGGGCTCCCACAGTCCAGAAGGAGCGTGTGCGTGTCCTTGCATACTTGTTACTTTTGCACCTCGAAGACTGATCATACCTGTAGCATAAACACAAGACTCACGGCGAGTCTTCTCGTCACAAGCTGAAGAGCGCCAGCATCGACGCTCAGCCTGCGAGTGGTCCCACTACAAGCCAGGAAATCGCCAATGCTTGGTACCAAAGGGTATGCTACTGCATTACATTTATTCATTCAATAATAGCTACTTAACATGCCTATGTCTCGATAAAGAGCTCTGCCACTGCCGATGACACGTCCGCCCAACGACCCGTAGGTGGGGTCGCTTCCTCGGCTCTGCCTGCACATACATCTGTGCATACATCAGGCAAGCCTACCTCATCCGTAGGTTTGACTACCTCTCAACGTTCTGCACCACGAATAGTCAGTATTCGGGCTGGGCAGGGTCCGGCCGATCCTCAAACGAGCTCTGTGCTTCCAAAGATCCATTCGGGAACGACACCCTCTCGCCAGCCGGAGTCCCTCCCGATGCAGTATTATCAAGGGACTACGCGAGCGCAAGACCAATTTCAGGCAGTCCCTTCACAGACCCATACCATTGGGTACGGTGACACCTCGGTCTATCACCAGTTTTCTGTCAACCAAAGCTCTGCCGGTCCGTATAGTGCACAAGCATCGCCGTCTCGCCCTCCGGACATGAACAACCTAACTTCAGGCACAACCCATGGAACTCATTTGGTGATTCCAGATGTCGTAGTGCGACCTCCGTCGACGGCGCCAGTCTTGTCGGATGCTTACAGCTCAAGGATGGCTGGTCATCTGCAGGTTCCAGACGCTCGGGTTCGTTCGACGCCTGCACCTACGATACAGTCTACGGGGCAAGCGACAACGCAATCCCATCGCTTCACAGGCCATGCGAAAGGGCCTTCTCATGATTTGCCAAGCAGGTTTCCGGTGTATGAAGACGCCTCTGCAAGGCCGTCGACGTCAGGAACAGTTCAGCCATCCAATGCTTCGCCTAAGAGGGGCTTGACGTACCCAGGCGCTTCCGCTCCTCCATTTGTATCTACTGTGCACACGAATCCGTCGAATTATCTTGGCAATGGAGGCTATGATCCACGGTCACCCAAACCTCCATCAGTGTCAACGATAACTCCCGACACATTCCGACAGCAGCCGTATACTTCTCCCTTGCCCGCTGCTGTCGCTCATACCGGCTCTGCTGGCTCAGGAAACACTCCTAAACACTCTCCCTCAGTCCGATTGCATTCTCATCGTAATGGCTCCAACGACACCATTACACATGCTGCACCTGCAAGACCCTCTCCTAGCGGTTCTTCTCCGCAACACCTACCCCACCGCTCGAGTGCAGTGAATCTGCAACCTCATGCCAACTCACGACCTGACACGACATCTCGCCAGCCTAATACATCGTCCGCATACCCTGACATTACTCGATACCGCTCTCCTGCACCATCGGGATACCCTAATGCACACGCCTCGTCCTCTACAAACAATGTAGCCGCATCTATTCATTCGCAAGCTTACAGCACTCAGACTCCTGTCTCTTACGACCCTCAGTACGGTCGAACCGCGAATGCTCCCTCCCAAGCTGGTTATGCTGCTCAAACGCCGGTCAATCAGCCTTATGGCCGTATAGGCCAGTCACTCGACTATGGTCTTCGTTCCCCCGATCCTAGCTCTGCTACCTTTGCGGCATCGAGTTATGCCCCCACATCGGCGCAGCGCGTACCCCCAAGGTCCGCTCCATCACCCGTTCCGACTGTGCGACCTCCACGGCTGACGTCGGTCTCGTCGCCTTCATCGAGGACTCCAGCACCCCTGCACTCGGCTCCACCTGTTCCTGCCCGCAATCAGAGTTATCCTGCCCCTGGACCTGCTCATTCAACTATGACACAATTCGCCTCAGGTCATTCGCGTACCGTCTCAGACCCACAGTACAATGGCCGATCTGCGCCTGGGGAATATGCCTCTGCCAGTCTCCCGACCCGAGGAAGGAACGCACCAGCGCCCCCAACACAGGCTGATGTTCTCCTTACGCCGTCTTCACTCGCGCCGTCTATGCTCCCTCAGCCCGCTCCTCCCGTCCCGCTGAGTCGTACCACCTCACAGAACACGACGAAAGAGAAAGAGAAGAAGAAGGGCTTCTTCGGCCTCAGCCTCTTCCGCTCTCGCTCCTCGCCACCCAAGGAGCGCGAGGTTGACGCACGGCTCCCATCCGCCGCCATCAGGGAGAAACGCGAACGCAAGCATTCCCAACCTGCCCAGCCTACTCAAAACCAGGCCTATATGCCTTCATCCGCTCCCACCAAGCCGACTGCACAAGTCACAATGGCGGCTTCAGTGTCAATATCAGCACCGTCACAACACGTGCGGGGTCAGAGCACCAGCGCAGTCCCGATTGCTGCACCAACCCCGGTCACCGCTACACCAAGCGTTCAGCGTGCTCCCAGTGGGAAGATGTTCACGCCGTTCCGTCTCTTGTCCCGACGGCATCGCACCGTATCTGCCGCGTCTGTTGAAGCCGTTGATGGCACAGTGGTAAGTCTTCGTAATCGTTCACTGTATTTGAAGGGCCGCCACTGACGATCGCTCAAGATCAATGCGATGTTGACGGGCGGCGATTCCACAAGGAGCTCGACGGCTGGGCGTCCCTCCCCTCCCCTCCGTGACCCTATGACGGCAGCAAACGAGTGGCGCAATAGGGAAGAAGACGAGCAGCAGCACCGCGGTACGCTGCGCAGGAGGCGGCCGGGCGTGACGTTCGATGTAGGCGAAGAGATCCCGGACGATGGTCGTGGGCCCATGCAGAAGACGCTGCGCCAGAACATGCAGACACTACAAGCTAGCATAGCTGCCCAGGCTCAGGCGCCGGGTCAGACACAGTTGCCCACTCAGATGCAGATGCCAGTCAGGCAGGCGACTGCTTGATCATATTGTGAGTATCCGACGACGCACATTCCGATCTTATGACTCGAGGGTCGTCGACTTTTTTGAATCTATGGGTAGAGTCGTGTTATCTATCCATGCACCTGCTATGTACATGTATCTCTTATGACGTTCTAGTGGTCGCTATTGCAGAATGTATCGAATACATGATGGAGAGTCGTACCGTCCACCGTTTGCAAGTTTCTGATGTGCAGATCTGCTCAGTGAGCCTCTAGAGTCGAGATTATATGCAGCCGATCAAAGTGCTTTAGAAATAGCCAGTATACGAGAATCAAGCCTGCCCTAAACAGTAATGCAGGTTCGATGGTGTAGTTGGTTATCACGTCTGTCTCACAAGGGCGTTGTCCTCGGTACACAGGAGGTCTCCGGTTCGAGCCCGGGTCGAACCATTTTATCGTTAGTGTATGAATCCTAGGAGGCCAGAACTGCATGATGTGTAAGAGAATTAATGAGGAAGTGAGAGCAGATGCAGCAGTATGGGAGTGGAAGTATGTAGTGATTGATACCAGGCATCAGGTTGGGCAGTTGTGAACCATAACCTGTTAACCTGCAGTCACAGCCATGTGGTGGGACTGTACTTATGTGAGCCTTGTGCACTCATCACATGTGTTCAAGAAAATGCAAAAGTTGTAAGGGATTTACTGCTATACATGTACAACTATTTGTGATGCCACAACCCTGTTATACATTCTGAGTCCTACTCGCAGTCAAAGAATGAAATAGTGACGGAAGTCCATCAGTGACTACTATAATATTGCCTTAGGCCATAGATTAGCCGGTGGCTAGGGTAGCACCAGGGACCCATGACTGGCCTGGCCCATTCTGGCAGAACTCCAAGATAGAGTTGTCAACCTGCTGGTAGTACACCTGGAGGATATACTGGCCGTTCAACATGAACAGGGTGGGAGAAAATCTCGCCCCATGCACCAGTGGACCCACAACATCACTGGTGTTCCAGGTGCCATTGGTCAGGGGCCTGCGGATGATCTCCGAGGCTGTGTTCATCCAGTACACATCCAGTACTGGCCCGTTGTTATAACCTTTAACAAGCACACCTATCTGGGTCTGTCCAGGGGCTGTGCCGCCGTTGAATTGACCTGCCAGTGCACAATGACAATGTAAGCATATTCATCGGCTAACAGTGAAAGCATAATATGCGCACCAGGGACCCATGTAGTGTCACCATCCAGGCAATACTCATGGATGGATAGGTCAGTCGCTTGGTAGTAGATCTGAAAATGTAAGACTGAGTTGGGGTCTTCATCATCAGGAAAAAAGTGCAATACTCTATAGACCTACCAAGGCTATGTAGCGGGGATAGCCAGAGAGTATAGTCCCCTTTTACATAGCGCATGATAGACATCACTGATGGCTCGCGAGACATACATAGACATATGAGTGCCCTCCATAGACGTCCATAGCACACCTAATGAACCCATATTATGTTTATATCACACATGGCAATCCCACTCTGTAAGGTGCATACAGTCATTCCATTGAACATCTATTGAAGTACATCACTACTATCTACATGACATGCGAAAGTTGCACCACACCAGCAGCCAGCAGGGAGACGAACATCTAGTGTGCTCATCATAGACGGATGTAGACTGATTGTAAATGTTACACATGGTACCTGAGGTCATTTGGGATGCGGAGGGTGCAGAGTTATAGAATTGAAAGCTTACCAGGGGAGGAGGCATGGGCAAAGAAGTACGTACTCACCGTGGTCTCAGTGTGATACCAAACATTGCAGAGCGAGGTGTATGTTGATGGACAGGCGAGCAAAACTGTACTTACCATGGTCTGGCATACCCAATGTTTACATCAATGTAAGAGACTTATGGCTGCTGTCTGCGCGACCATTCCAGTCATCCTTACATGTCTCCAGGCAAGGGGAGCGTGAGTGATGGAGACGGCATCCACCTCAAAGTGGAGATGACATGCACGTTTTGCTGAACAGCAGTTTGAGTAATCTTACTTTGTCCAGACAAGGGGGAGTGCGAGCGGAGAAGGCAAGGGCCGGACGAGGGCATGATGGTGCAGATGGCCTCCCTCGAGCAATAGTTGAACTTACAGGGCAGGGTCTCAAGCTGGAGTGGACTCACCTATTATCATATTGTGTACAAACATCTGAGAGTATAATTTGATAGCAAAGACAGAGGAGCTCAACAGGTACAGCAGAGGACAAACCGAGGGGAAGCAGAAGAGCGGAGAAGAGGAGGAGGAGATTCAGAAGCGGTAAGAGGTGCCGGATTGCTAGCACAACAAATCTAATGGGCCATGCAGCGTATTTAGGGCAGGCGCTACTAGACTTGTGAGTCGTAGCAGGTGGTCTCTCTGCATCATTTTGAGCAATACATACACATCTGCTTGTGCCGCATATGTAATTGCTTTTAGCTGCACACTTACATGTTGTGTGCAACTACTATCTGGAAGATTTGTGACCAGAACAAGCCAACACTCCTCTCTATGACTAGGGCGTCACCTGCTGCAGCTATGTAGTGCTCTCGAGCGCTTTAGAGACGCCTGTGTGGCTCTGACGACCCACTAGGTCTGGTGGGAACTATCTTGATAAATGGGTTTTCCTGATGATAGGAAACAGCCCCAATGCTGGTTCCGCTCATGGCAGATGTCACAGTTGCCCCTTCCTTCCAGCTCCCAGCAAGCCCATTGAAGTAGTACTCCTTGATTTGGTTGGAGCCTTCCACTGAGTTTGGGTATGTCAGTATGCAGCCACAGTGCAAAGGCATTAGCTGTTGCATCCCAAAATACTTGCCTTGGTAATAAACATGGATGTATATTGAATTGTTGCGTGTGTACTGGACAGCAGCGATAGAACTGTTGGGAGCGGCTTGGACATGCATGTCATTCAGTCCCCTGTGCGTCCACACGTCGTTGTCAGAGCTATACTCCTGCAGCTTGTTATTGGCACTGAGGTAATACACCCGGGTCTACATTGGTGATTGTCAATGGAATAATGAATGGACTATACTATACTCAACCTGAGCTTGCTCACATGATGTGGACTGTTATCTGGCTTCCAGCTTATGACTGCCAAAGGCGTGAACGGGGAAATATCAAGAGTCTGGCTGATGCCATCAGTCCACTGGTCACCATCATGACGGTACTCCTGCAATTGTCTCTGGGTACTGATAGAGTACACCCAAATCTACATTGAAGAATATTAGCAATGCGTCAACAAACATTGTGACAGTGATGGACTGTATAAAATCTAAGCTCACTCACAGGCAAGACTCCGACAGCATCATTCCAAGTGGTGGCAGCCAAAGGGGTGAACAGAGCAGGTCTAGTTTTGATTCAAAGGAGTAGGGGTTAGGAGTAGGGGTTGCATAGTGCGAGTGATCACATACGGGTCCTGCAGCTGCTGAGAGATCACGGACATTATGAGAGGCCATGTTGTTGGAGCTATGAGCTGAAATGGGGTCTGCGTTCTCCCTGCTCAATGTGGTCTGATGTAGCAGGGTTTATATACCCAGACAATGGGTGACTGTCTGTCATGGTCACAGGTTATTCCAACAAGTGTCAACACAACTCGAGAAACTTTACTCTGTGAGATTCCATGCTTCAGGGTGTCAATGGCTCAGATTTATTGCCCTAGGGCATGCATCCTTTGACGTCCAACATCCAACACTCAATGTGCAGAGGGGAAGTTGACTGCAAGGGTACAGAGTACATCCACAACCTACGTGTCGTACAGCCTTAGCACACTGCAGGGTTGACAGATACAGGCCGAAGATGTCTTCCGATTGATGTGTGCAGAGGTGGCCATCAAGATGATCAGTTTGGTCCATGGATCATCGGAACGGCTGTAATGATTGGAATGGATTGCTCGCGACATTGGGGTTGCCACTCACTGACAGCGCTCTTGTGAGGACAGGGCACTAGTCAGAAACATTGGGTGGAAGACTCAGTATTCTGGATAAGACACAGGCCCGGTGCATCAGGAAAATGTCATATGCTTGGGGGCTACTTGGGACCAAGTACCCTCTACTTGTCAAAAGTGAAGTGTACTTGGGGCCAAGTAGGACAGCTTATTCACAAGTAGACTCACAAGCTATTTCCAAGCAAAGATGGATGGTGATACTTATTGATGAACTCTGAACCTGTAAGGCTAGGAGCGACTGTAAGTCACAACAAAGAGAGATCTTCAGTCAGTGAGCGAACGACTATATTGCATAGTGAAGTATCTGTAAGTCACAACAAAGAGAGACTACAAGTACTAAGTCAGTAAGAAGTAGTAGAGCATATGTAGGTAAGAGACTTACTCTTCAGTCAGTGAGCAAACAACTGAAGAGCAGAGGCGAAGAAGGGACTGCTTATATACATGAGGGATGAGTCCATGAGTCAGCGAATAAAGCAGTCACATGTAGCCATAAGACGATGAGTCGGAGTCTGTATCGGCGTATGAGTCAGATACAGTCATAGCATGAGTCAGACATAAGGTCTAGAAGAGTCCGGTGCAGTGTAGAATGCACTGGTCCGCACAGGAATGCACAATAACCATATGGTCATGGAAAAGTACAGTAGGAGAACAAAGAAAACCATAAATGGTAAGTAGGAACACAGCCTATCTAATCATATGACCATAAACAAGTGTACACAACTCCGGTCCGAGCACAGCCAGTAGTCCGGAAGTTCAACACTTATATCATTCAGGAATACAACTATCCTATGATACAAATAAATATCACAGTGCATATCCAAAGCCTGAGTGATATGAGTATCACCATCCATCTTTACTTGGGACAAGCTTGTGAGTCTACTTGTGAATAAGCTGTCCTACTTGGCCCCAAGTACACTTCACTTTTGACAAGTAGAGGGTACTTGGTCCCAAGTAGCCCCCAAGAATATGACATTTTTCTGAGAGCAGAAGGATGGCAAGAGAGACAGGTGATTGTGTGGAAAACACAGAAGACAAATGCAAGAGAAGGGGAGGGGCAAGGAGGGAAGTGCTGCAGAAGTGCAACATCAGGAAAGGTACCTGTAAGAGTTGGTCGCCTTAGGTCACGCTGAGATACTCAGAACCGAGTATATACAGTCTGAGTGGGTACAGCATAGTGGTAAAAGCGATGAAGACGGATGCAGGGACACGTCCGCCCTATACGCCAGTGGCTTTAGCTACTGTATAGTACTATCTCATGCTATAAGCGTGAGCGTTTAACCAGTCCCCTTACACCCTCCCCCTCTGGACCGACTCAGGCAGTCCACAATATATAATAATGGGTGTATATGAATTGATAGTGCGTCATCTAGACGACTTGTAAGTGGTATAAAGAGTGTATATGCGTTCAGTATAGGAATGACTCATGATTAACACGATGTGTCAATTGTGTATGCGCACTCTTTCGAGGCGACTTATAGATAA